CATAGGCGTACGGGAAGGAAAAAATTAGGGGGGCAGAAAGAAATTTGCCCGACTTTTTCGGATTGTGTCCGACAAGTGCCGAAAAAAATTTTTTCCGGAACAATTTATTTTGGCGACCTCCCCCCCCTCCCCCCCCCTCGCCAAAAAAATTTCGGTCTGTACCATTTCAGGGGTCCAAATATTTTTCGGACACACCCAAATTTTTCGGAACATCAAACAAATTTTCCCAAAAATCAAAAATTTAACATACTTTCCCACAAAATTTACAGAATTTGTCCCATTTATTTTTATAATAACCAAATATTGCCCGACTGTGAAGCGAATATTGCCCAACTGGCTTTGTTTGCCCAACAAACTGGGGTTATTATTAAGAGAGATTTTATTGCTTTGACTACTTTTTTGGCTTTTTAATTTCCCACTCTTCGCCCGACTTATGTTGAACATTTGCCCGACTTTTCGACTTCGTAATCTTTGGGGGGGGGGGGAAGCTGCCGCCCCCCGTCCCGTACGCATATGCAAATTTTAATTTGATCAATAAGTGTTCACTATTCACGACAGTCCGCAACATATTTTGAGATCAGTGAGATGACCACGTGGCCATGAACGATGAACGGTGAGCCATGCGCCCACGATATTTACCGAACTTTAGACTTGGCTAGGGTGTAAATAGCCGGGCGGAATTAGTACCCTCGCACGGCGTGCCGCGCCGTCGGCTCGGGGATAAATAATAATAATAACAGTGTTTATTATATACACAAGGTCTGGATATGAGGTATTCTGCAATCTGATTGGTTCTCTACTAGCAGGATATTAGCTCATATCCTGCTAGTAGAGAAAAACAAAATGGCGGCTCAAACTGAATTTCCGACATCTTGCGAACGAGAAAACGGCAAGTTGTTCGCTTTTTATAGCCTTTACAGGATTAAAAACACAATGAAAAAACTCCCAACAGGTTAGCAAATGAATTTTTAAAATTTAAAATGGTTAAAAGAATATATTTTTGAAAAAATAATCGGCCGAAAGAGCGAAGATAAAAACATAAACAAAACAGGAAAATATTGAAAATTTCCGAAAAGCAAAGTCTGTGAATTCAGACCTTGTGTATATAATAAAACAGTTATTCCACTCACTCTCGTCGAATATGAGCGATAGCCGATTCGGCGCTACGCGCCTCATCGGCTATCAGCTCATATTCAACTCGAGTTCGTGGAATAACTGTTAATTATTATATACACAAGGTCTGGATATGAGGTATTCTGCAATCTGATTGGTTCTCTACTAGCAGGATATTAGCTCATATCCTGCTAGTAGGGAGAAAAACAAAATGGCGGCCAAACTGAATTTACGATGTTTTGCAAACGAGAAAACGGCAAGTTGTCGCTTTTTATTGCCTTCACAGGATTAAAAACACAATGAAAAAACTCCCACAAATTGTTTTCAGGTTAGCAAATGAATTTTTAATATTTAAAATGGTTGAAAATATATATTTTTGAAAAAATAATCGGCCGAAAGAGCCGATATATTGAAAATATTCGAAAAGCAAAGTCTGTGAATTCAGACCTTGTGTATATAATAAAACAGTTATTCCACTCACTCTCGTCGAATATGAGCGATAGCCGATTCGGCGCTACGCGCCTCATCAGCTATCAGCTCATATTCGACTCGAGTTCGTAGAATAACTGTTAAATGTCAGAGCAGTTTCCATTGTTTCAAGTGTTCCACAAGGTAGAACAATAACAAAGGCGACGCAACGCCACTGCATTTTACTAATTATATTTAAAGACCATGTCAAGTCCGTTCTGCGCATCAGTTCCGCTTATAACAAAGGGGGACCCACGTACAGATATAATTATACATTGCCCAAATTTTGAATCTTTCGAACTTTTTTGAATTTAAACGTACTCTAGTTATATTCATTTACAATAGCGAACCAGAAAAGTGTTAGATATTCAGTTAGTACGTCTTATTTCACAAATATAGCAGTTCAAAATGTAAACAAAGGATTTGTTTACATTACGGACTTGACATGGTCTTAAATGGGTTACATACTGTTTTGCATTCCTAAACAAGGCAATACTTCCAGAAATAACTTTGTTGTGCCATAAATAGTTTGAATGGGGATCTATGTTGCAGATCAGTGTTCAGCGGTCTTACCTTTAATCTTTACCTCACACCGCTTGCCAGTAAAGCCGTTGGCGCATGTACACGTGATGTCGTCACCTTTCTCGTGGCAAGTCCCGTTGTTAACACATGGTTGAATGGCACATAACGAGCCTAGAGAACAAAACTATTATTCTTCTCCCGATAACATCTGGTTACATAATGGCCTGGCCTTGGCATGCCCCGGTTAGGGTCAAGGAGGTTAGACTCCGGATGAGGGTTACGGTTAGGTCTCACTGTCACAAACAATGGCGTTGAAAGCAATTTTGTAGGGCAGATATTCAATAATTTGTTGGGCGAAAATACATTCAAATCATGTTGAGTAAGAATAAGAAAACCTAGAAGTTCCTAGAGTTCATAGCGAGCTCATGCATGTAAAACTAATGTAAAGCAGTTCATCATACTATTTCAAGGTCCCAAATTGTGGAATTCTATCCCAGAGTTGGTTAGAAATGCACAAACGATAAATTGCTCCAGAATTTTGGAATACTTGCTAGATGCCTAATTGAGTTTCTCCTGACCGCATTTTAACTAATCATTTTTATGATCTATATTATTTTCTGCTATACCACTGCTCCAAGGAGACATCCTATTTACATACAAGCCCTATGGTTTTCGGATGCCTCCTTGCCACCGATATCTACTTTATGGTCTATATATTGACTATCTAAAACTAACTATACTATCATTATGAAACAAGTTGTATATAACTGATATCTGTGGCAAAAATTAAATTATCCTTATCCTGAGGACGAGGATGGTGTCCTTGACGCTACCTCTGAGGACTCTTATAAACTTTTTTTAGATTCTCAGCATCTCTACGTTCTTTTCTGATCACACCCCTTTTGTCGTGCGTAGCGACTCCCCACCCCCTCCCCCTCCCCCCAAATATTAAAATCCAAGTTACGCCCTTGCTCACAAAGGAAAGGTATACGCCCGTATGGTATACATCATAGATTTATGGCTATATAATGTATATCATCATACGTAAGAAGAGATTGGGTTGACACGCGACTGTCTAATCAGTATCCAGTGGTCTTACCTATAATCTTCGCCTCACACCGCTTGCCAGTAAAACCGCTGGCGCAGGTACACGTGATGTCATCATTGTGCTCACGGCAAGTCCCATTGTTAACACAAGGTTCATTGGAGCATAACGAAGCTGGAGAAAGGAACAAACATAATTATTTATTTAATGACCATTACACATTATGCGTTTTCGAAATATCAAAAACGAAGCGATTCGAAAACGGATTAATGTGAAGTAGTTTTAAAGTGCTCCTAACCCCAATAAATTTCGGCAAATCCTCCGAATTTTATGACAGTTTAAAGTTGTTAAAATGGCAGTTTTTGATGGACCACTTCCGTACCTTTCATGACGTCAGAAAACGGGCTAGACCATTGAACTGAATAGAACTGGAACGCTACCTCCAACCGGAAATTTGAAGCCAAACTTGAAGGCCAGTCCCAGTCTTTTCACGCATGCGAGGAGCGCTCAATCTGTCAATCATGACATAAACACGCGTGGTCTGACCATTTGGCTTCAAGAAAAAGATAAGCAGTTTAACTGAAAGTAGCGTTTCAGTTCTATTCATTTCAATCGGCTATACCCAGGCTCTTTGTGGTTACAGAATACGACGGCGCCTATTTGCCTAAATTTAGAACTTTCTTCACAGATATACTAACCACGAACAGGTAGGCAATTTGTCTGAGCATGCACGCAGAAAACCAATATGGCGACATATATTAGGAGTGTTTCGTGAATTTATCTGGTTTTAAAGCTGATAAAACAACATTTTAATGAACGAAAACTTTGTGATATTTAGTGGAAAACATTAAAGTGCCCCTGACACAAAAATTGATTTTTTGTGTGTTGAAAGTACACATTATGTGGAGTGTTTTGGTGAAAGAATTTTTTGATTTCATTAAAAAGGAAAATTTTTAGAGCGGTTTAAACACATAAATTTTTGGCACATGGACGTCGGCTACAGGAGTCTGGGGATAGCATTTTTTGTGACGTCACGCAAATGAGTCAAATCTTGACGGTCTGTTAGACTTTTATCAGTTTTGATCAGCTCAAAGGTTTTGATCGCTGAACGGCTGAAGTGTTTTTATATTCTAAATTCTATCATGGTTCTATAAAGTATCATGTCGACAACAGAATCCGACAGTAGCGATCAGTCCGATGATTCCAGTGCGAATTTTATACCTGGTTAATATATGTTGTGTTGGAAGATGCTGATCAATAACACGCCAGGTCCCTAGTATTATCATTAAAACCACCAAATCTACACGACGCGGACGTGACGAAAAACTGCCGCTATTATCACAATTTCACTTCACGAGTAAAACTATGGATTGTTGTTGGTAAACAAAGCTAGGGGACACGAGAAAAATAAAATAAAACTAGTCTCCCATTATTAGCGACTGTTTTTAGTCTGCGTCTCAGATTTGGCGCATCTTGCCTGGCCCTCTGCTAACGTAGACGTTCTATGGCTTTGCAAAGTTTATATCTCCGGTTCGGTGCATGATATGAAGACAAAAATACTACGACTCGTTTCAGTGAAACAAGCCACCCTTGGGGATCGGCTTTGTGGCCGCTAAATAGAGGTACGCAAGTAATTGACCCTGAGCGTAGTAAAATCTTTTGAGGTGTAAAGTGGCATGTGTTAAAACTTAATTTTCAAGTGTTATTTTACAAACAAGACGCCTGCTCAGGCGTTCACACTGGCCTGAAAATAACGAGATACGTGCTATGGTGCAAAAGGCAGGAATACAAATCTTAAACCGCAAGCAAATTTTATGGACTTTTTAAAAAATAAAAGACCTTTTCGGGTGACGTAATGGAGATCGATGCACGTGCAAATCATGCCGATCTACAGAATCGATTTCCGTTTTTTCCTAACAGCGCGTTGTTTTCATGTGCGTTCCATGGGCCGCGCTAAAAATATAAATATTCTGTAAATACCGAAATAAAAGATGAGAATCTCAAGACACAAGCTTGAAAATAACACTATAAATAATGTTTTCGATTCTGGTTCCAATAACATTATCACGAAAAAGATATGTCCAAAGGGGCCGAAGTTATGTTCGGCAAAATGTATGGCTAGTTTACATTGTTTGTTGTATTATGAAATATGATACCATACTTGTATTAAAATTCGCGTCGAACTAATGTTATTGTAAATGAGTAGACTTGCCACAAGTCGACCTCGAACGAAATGCGTTTCTTCGAGGTCGACTTGTGGCAAGTCTAGCAAATGAGAACCATACAAATTATACAATAATGGTTCTAGTTCTTGTTGGTATTTGAACGCACGCTTTATCTTTCAGTATAGCTACCACAAAGCTTTTCGTGCGGATTATATTTCGTGGAGTACTAAATATTATATTTTGTGGTTTTCGAGTCATTACACAAAGAAAAACACATTAATTCAACACGCAAGAAAGTCCAGAGTACGACACAACGTAAAATACATAGGAAACCGGCACAATTCTTTGAAAATTCAACGAAACTGTGTAAAATATAGTTTGATCACTCTGTGAAAAGCCGCCATTGCAGTTCGGAATTGTGCGCGTGCGTACAAGTCTATAGGCTAATAAACGAAAAATGCACCACAAGCATGGCATGAGTCGGCTATTACGTACATAAATACGGACTTATTACTATACTATCTAAATCATGGAACCGAGGGGATCGATGGCATTTTGGCTTAGTCGTTGCACCCTGAGCCTGCGATGAGCTAACGCAAACTCGATTTTTCGACTACGAAAAAACCCAGGAAAACACAGGAAAAAGAGGGGTTTAAGACACTTGGCCTACAGGCCAGTGTAATAATTAATTAAGGCTGTAAAATGTGTGGATTCAAAGACGTGGGATTAGACGTCTGTACATGGAGTCATGAGCTAATAATAGTTTCTGACATTTAAAACAACAGGGCTACGTTTATCCTTTATCTCATAGTTTAGCCTAGTGTCAGAGGCCTCCATTAAATAACAGTCAAGATATATACGCAAATATAATTTGCGTGTCTATCTAAAATTTGTAATTGTTTCGTGAAGATTCAACCATAAAACAATTGCCGGAAATGCAAGCCCTGATCATAAAAACTCAGGGAAAACCCGTGCGGTATGAAATGCGTGGCGTAAACATGTCAATCAAATATCTATAAATATGACGTTTTATATTTGCACAGTACATCGTGTACGTTCTTGTTGTAGAACTTGTGTTGCTCCAAATCGAGTATGAAGTAAAATCAGGAGCATACTGTCACAGGCTAATTTTGTATTTTAATACCCTCTGGAAATACCAAGGCTTTGGTACCCCTATCTATCACAAAATGTAACAAATCCAAAACAAAGTATGAGGACTAATATTTTTCCTATCATTTGACAGATTAAAAGTATTATTCAAGAAATATGTCCATTTTAATCATAACGTGATACAAAAATACTAAATAACATGCAAAATTCAGTGCCAAAGAGGGATTTATTTTGCGGTAGTTAAATTAAATATGTAAACATAATATGTTCTCAAACTGGCACAGTTTAATACCAATTGGCAATTAAAGCTCGCAATGCTATATATTTGGTTTGATACGAAAATAAAATAGTAAATACTCATAATAATTACAATATGTCCATGACCTAATTACTCAAAAATTTAGATTATTAAATCACATAATGGAACAACTTGCAATTTGCTACGCTCACTCGTTATCAATATTCTCTTCAACACTCGAAATAAATTACATATTTCCGCACAACCATGTATAAATATTCTCTATACATTCCAGTTTACCTTTAATTTGTCAAGTGGTAGGCAACATATTAGTCCTTTTGATTTGTTATTCTCTTGACACAACACGGGACTACGGGAGTGATAGGAACTTGAAAAAATGACAGTTGCATACTTGCGTGTAATTTGCTCGGAACAATTTGCAATCAACATTGCAAGATTGATTGCAATGTTGCAATACTCATGGGAACAGAACATCCGGTTTGACTGTAAGAGTTATATCAGTCCAAGACTGCTATAGAAGAAGATTTTATCAAAATAAAGTCAGGATAAAGTCTATTAATACCACGATTACTAATGATTACTACTCTTGAAAGCTTTTCGAAAGACGCCATCTTGTTTTAAAGCTGTTCTAGCCTGCGAACAGGCCTTCAAAACAAGGTTGACGGACTTAACAACTTAACTTAACTTACTTAACTTTACTTTACTTTACTTTACTTTACTTTACTTTACTTTACTTTACTTTACTTTACTTTACTTTACTTTACTTTACTTTACTTTACTTTACTTTACTTTACTTTACT